CCGCCCCCTCCCTCTTTCAGGACCTCCCCCTTTCAGCACCTACCTCTCCCCCCTATAGGACCTCCCCCCTCCCGCTTCCTCCTCCAGGATCTCCTGCTCCTTGCTCAGGTGAAGAGATCCTTCCCTGTGCAGGTTCTGCTCTGCTCTGCACTGCTCTGCTCTGCTCTGCTCTGCTCTGCTCTGCTCTGCTCTGCTCTGCTCTGCTCTGCTCTGCACTGCTCTGCACTGCTCTGCTCTGCTCTGCACTGCACTGCTCTGCACTGCTCTGCACTGCTCTGCTCTGCGCTGCTCTGCTCTGCTCTGCTCTGCTCTGCACTGCTCTGCTCTGCGCTGCTCTGCGCTGCTCTGCGCTGCTCTGCTCTGCACTGCTCTGCACTGCTCTGCTCTGCGCTGCTCTGCGCTGCTCTGCTCTGCACTGCACTGCTCTGCGCTGCTCTGCACTGCACTGCTCTGCACTGCTCTGCTCTGCGCTGCTCTGCTCTGCGCTGCGCTGCACTGCTCTGCTCTGCACTGCTGTGCACTGCTCTGCTCTGCTCTGCACTGCTCTGCACTGCTCTGCAGAATGAGAAGCGGGCGTTCTGCACCTCTGCCTGGGTTTGGCTCTCATCCCCCTGGGCAGTGACAGGGAGGGGGCTGTCCTCGAGTCTGTCTACTGTTCTGGAGGGTCAGTGGGTGACCTGTGTGCACATCGTCATTCGTGCTTTGGAAGCAGAGTAGTTTGGAGAAATGTTCTTTGGCTTTTGTCTCCGACAGAGTGACTGCCTTCTCATCCGAGGTGGGAAGATAGTGAACGATGACCAGTCCTTTTACGCAGATCTGTACGTCGAAGACGGTCTGATAAAGTGAGTTCCTGCCCCAGAGGCCCCCAGCTCACGCGTGTGCACATCACGATGTAGCAAGGGGGGTTAGCATGGGGGGAAGCTCAGGTAAATATGGCTTTTCTTCTTGTTTCCAGAGACCCCATTTTCTGGAAAGTCTGGTATAGTGACCACTGGTGTAGCCCGAGCAGCAGCTGAGTCACAGCTACATTTAAAGTCCTGAGAACACGTGTTTATGTTTCTGTAGTGCTGGGTACTTGTGGTTCTTAAGGCTGCAGCTGGAGTGTGGACTTGAGCTCAGGGACCTGCCATCACTGTCGCGGGCGTCAGGATCTGTGTCTCTATGGTTGGAGACGAACCATCTTTTTCACTGATCTGTTCAAACTTCTGACAGAAATTTAGCAGCCTGGCTCACTGCGCCCCAGTGGCCCAGAGCCTGTCAACTGTGCTGCCACACTGTTTAGCTGCCGTAAAGTTTGCCTCTAGACTGACGTTACTGCCTTCTGCGCCCTGACAGCAGATTTTCCTAATGCACTTTGTCGTTTCTTTTTGATTTCCTGACTGCGGGTGCCGAGGGTGTTGGTTGTGATTTTGGGCAAGGTGAAAGCATTAACAACTTCAATCTTCTCTCCATCTATCTCGGTGCTGCATATTGGCTGGTGGGATGGACGCAGATGTGCCAGGGACAGTGAGGTTGGCTCAGGATAGGACAAGGTGCCGAGCTATTGTTCACAGGGTCACTGTGAATTGTAGATGACTCAACAGCACATAACAGCAGCAAAATTTGTCAGTTCAAATCCATCAGCAACACCACGAAAAAGGCCAGGCAACCTGCTTCTGTAAAGGCTGCAGCCAAGGCTAGCCGGGTGCAATGCTGCCATGGCCACGGGGCCCGCAGCCGAAGCTGGTCCAG